GAAAGGAAAAAATACAAATGATGTAAACGTGAGTAAAAATTTGCTTTTGCGTGAAAAAGAATCTTGCAGCCAAACATAGATTATGATTCTTTTACCTACCTTTCTTATGTAGCCAGATTATGTAAATAATTAGAAGAAGGATTGTGAAGGCAAGAACCCCAATTACGGCCAACAAGACGTTATTTGATGGGCAGTTACATTCCTCAGGACCTAAAATGATTCATTTTGCAAAGCTTGATGAAATAATATTCAAACAACATTTACACTGATCCTGGTCGATACACTGCTCTCACTACATAGCTGAGGTTCATGACCGGAAAACGTTAACTCTAATTGGCTTGGTACGAAGGAAGAGTAAGGTGCTACTCTCTCTAAAATAATTTTTAAGAGTAAGACTTTGTTTAATTAAATAAAACAACAACGAAAAAAACAAAAACTTGGAAGTGTATCAGTCACAGAATAAGTTGTTTAATTAAATAGATACGGAATACAATTATAAAAAGTCCATCTTCAGAAGAATACGTGTAAACATTGAACATTGTCTTTATAAAATTTACCTTTTGTTGTGCTTTCCGAGCCATCTGTGGGTATTAAAACTTGTTTAATTGAGTCTGGATTGACTTTAAAACCTCTGAATTTGTCTTGCCTCGCAGCATCCGACAGGACAATCAAAACATTGCTGACGACTACAGTTTGATTGAACCTCATCATAAAGTCAAGAACAACACTGCCACACCTAGATAAGGGGGGGGGGGGAGGGAGAGAGAGAGAGCAGAGAGTATCATCGCACACATTCGTACTTTGGTGATTTTTAAGTGTTAAAATATATTGAGATTTAACCAATGTATTAAACCAAGGTAAATAAAGACAATATTAAAGACAATAGACTTCAAACATAAATTATCTTGTATTAAATAAGATTTGCTAGGGCAGAAAAGACACTTTTACAGCTAAAATACAACACATTGAAATAAAGCTCCTCTCCCCTACTAGAAGGCAAATTTGAGTTTGCATTTTTTGTTTCAGTGTAGAACAACAAACTGTACCTTACCTGGTGTTCACAGTGTTGGCGGATGAGCAGCCAAACCTCAAGGCAATTTGACAAGCCTAAAAGGACATATGAAGAAAAAACGTATATTCAAATGCTTGTTACATATTGAAGATCGTTCAAAATATAATTTTTTTAACAGAAATATTAAGATTTGATTCAAGAACAGATTGATTAAGATTCACTTTTCATGATAAATCTCATGGCAGTATTATAAACTCCAGTATATGGATCAAGTAGATTATCTAACCATTTCTGGAAATTTCGCAGCAACTTCTGAACGTCTGCTACAGTTCTCCTGTATTGTCGCTGTCAGGTAAACTTCTGTGCTTACTGTTTGAACTGGGGAAAAACAAAATACGACTTAAAATGAATGTGTGTGTGTTTGTTTGCACAAGAATTATCATTTGAACTCATGTATAAAGCCTTTACTTAAAAAGAACACTGGTATAAAATGTACGAATGGGAGGCCAATTTGAGAGATATTGTTTTTCTTGTATTTTGTGTCACGATGGTGTCTTCAGAATCGTTCCCCTAGTCGTCTTCCTTTTCGCCCAAGTATAACTTTTTTAAATAACCGCAAGTTATGAAATAGATGACATCGGTAGAGCCAGTCTTAACATTATACTGACCAAACAGTTGTCCGTTTTACGCAAAAATAATATACCAGTTTTTGGATCATTTTGAAGTTATTTAAATTTGTTAGAAGGACAGGTCTTATTGCGTGATTGTGCCGCTAATATGGAATACGATCATTCTCTTCCTACTGTGACGTTTGTGGATTGCCGACTTTCGATCGGTTGTTAAAGACTCCCTTGAATGACAAAGGCAGGATGGCCACGGGTTTTTGAAGAACTGGCATATTGCCTCTGATATCTTGAAAAATCAGAACTGTCAATAAATAGGCAATGAAGCCTAAGACACTGAGAATAAGGAATGGTATTCTTGACATGTAATGGATTTGAAGATGACAAAACCATGAGACTCCGTGGGTCTGCAGCACACCCACTAATGCATAGACCGTCATCTGTTAACTTTGACTTGTAGAGAAGCCAAAGAGGTGTCAGAAATTTCCCAGATCTATTTTAGAGCTGGATGAAAGTAACTGACAGCAGTTAAAAAATAATCGAGTTCCTCTCTGGTGAAAAAAGTAGAGCCTATACAGTGATCAACGTAGCGACTTCAGATTTCGGCCCCCTATTTACGCCTAGTAGGTGACTCTATCTCTTTGTAATACATTTGTATGTCAAGGGTCGATTCCCTGTCATTATAAATAAGTCCCGTCTAGGAATGTAATTTCTGAATTCGATATTATTCACACAGCCATCGGCTGAGAGTGTAATTGCTGCCGTTCGTGAAGATTCTTAAGCAAGACTGCTGTTTCGATTCTTTCAGAATCTCTTTGGTTTCCTCCTAAGAACGAATTTGCTCGCGGAAGAATGACGGGAGCCCACAGGCCCTTCAACACTTTTTAACTTTCCTTTTTACGAAGGAGCGGCAACAGACAGTGAATTCCCATTATATACATTTCTTGCTATTCTGTCTTCCATAAAAGATGTTCACTCGACTGCAACAGGATGCAAATGACTTAAGCCCCGTTCAAACGATCACGATCGTTGATGATAGACAACTGAATGATAGTTTCAACTTTCATTCACATCGTTGACTATCGAGTTTGTGTTCAAACGGTTCATGATAGTCGATGATAGTTGACAAAATACCACCCAATGAGATCGCGTAATTGTACACAAATATGGTCCACGCTGAGGTCAGCAATTTCAGTGGCATTTGAAATTTTAGTCAAGAAGTTACAAGTTAAAGATACTGAAGCCTACCAGGAAATGATGAGAATTAACTACGAGACATTCTGGGGAACTTCGACGGCTATTTTAGTCATTTTACCATTTGCCATTTCGGTTTGAGCCCGTTTTTGGCAAAACTGCTGACCTAGCCATCATCCACTATCTTCCTCTCGTTCAAACAGCAAAAACTATCATGTCGAATTTGAACATGTCCAAACTACATGATATTTGATGAAATGCGATGATAGAGCATGATAGTTCGTGTTCAAACGCGCTTGATAGTTGAAACTATCGTCAACTATCCTGACCGTTAAACGGGGCTTCAGTTTTTCTTTTGCGACCGTGATGAAAGGCAATCATAGTGCGCACAGGTTCAGGATAAATAACGTTTTCTTCTTCAGATGTCGTGTATGATGTCGGCGTCGGTTGAAATGATATTTCATGGAGCGTCATTGTGAACTTTGGTTTGGGAAAATGAGTCAGAGTTTTAAAGAAACGACCGTAAGCAACTTCCAGTTAAGAGATTACCGGTCGATTAATAGATGGGTATACGTGAGAACAATGAGTCAGTGAAACAATAGGCCAGAAACGTACGGGCTTCTCTTATGTCTTCTCTTTATGTCGCCAAGTATGACTGTTTACTCCACAGTTTTCTCTATTGTGTCAAACTCCTCCGGTAATTGTATTAAATTAAAAAGAATAGTCACTTTCAACCAGTTATTTTCTCAATTCTTCTCTTTTGATTATTCTTGTTTCATGATTGTCCTCATTAAACCAAATTTCAATGATCATGGCAACTCTGGCCGCTGAAATATGAAATTTGTCTTGTATCTGTTTCATGCGCCGCTAAAGTTTGATTTAAACGAAGACAAGCTAGAACTAGAATATCTCATCTCAAACTTGATAACGACAAGAGACTTTAGATTCGAAGATGTTTGTAGAAAACTAGAAAGGCTTCATGTGGGTTAGAGGATGTGAAGCAGCGCAAGGAAAGAATTTGCAACCCGTGTTTTGAGCGGGAAATCATACTGGTGAGGTTGTTGTTGAAAAGTGATTCTTGGTATTTTGCAATCTCTAATGAACTTGCAAAGCAACGATACTCAGAGCCAAAGCTTTTCCAAACGGAAGAAATTACGACAATTCAAGTTCATGGAGAAAGGATCTCGAGTGAAAATAGACTGGAAATAGAGAGAGAAAGAGAGACCAAAGAGAGAAAGAACTGAAAAGACGTGGAGCGAGTCGAGAAAAACGCGAAATGGGGTTTGATAGGGCGAAGAATAGGTAGAACACAGTGAGGGGAAGACGATAGAGAACAAGAAAAGGTTGAAGTAAAATGGCGAATATCTAGCGAAGACCAACGTGAGAAGGTTGAAAGAGCTCCAGAAAACAGACTGAAAAGAGGTCAACAACAAAGAGAAAGCGAACTACGCTTGTAGCGAAAACGAAGATCCCCGAAAACTAAGACCTAAGACCTAAGAAAATGAAGACCTCTTCATGACCTTGAGACAGGAAGTTTGTGTCACGCTCTGTAGCTTCACCGAAAAAAACCTCTGAAAAGATTGACAAACTCTCTGCGTGAGGCAGCGTAATCATACATTGTTAATTAAGCTGAAGCGAAATCGCCGACAATAGGCCACTTCTGAGTTCTGCGGTTCAGTAATCTGGTGTCGAAATTACGGTGCGCAGAGGAAGCTAAGTGCGAAGTCGCTTTCATCGGTATGAAGAGTAAAGTGCAGTGGTGGTGAAAATGACAAAAGAGTTCTCGGAATTCAGTGTGGGAGTGTGAAATTTTTTTGCGGGAGAGAGGCATCAACTAACTGATGGCGGCAAAGGAAAGAAAAAAGCACTCAATTTAAATGTGAGAAGACAAAACGAAAGTGTTGCAGACTTCTCTTTCCAGATTCAGATCAGCATGTGTCAGTAAACTACTTAAAATATCTGTGTGTGCCAGCCAATGACAGTTAATAGATATGCCATATATTTGCAGTTGGCATACAAATATCAACTGCGACGTAAGTTTAATTTTTCTCGTTGATTCAGGTTCTTGCAAGCGAAGAACTCACCCGTAAAAACCTCGATGTTGATGACACGGAGAGTGTTTGAAAACTAAGTAAAGAAAAGGATAAACCGTTTAAAGGGGAGAGTAAGATTCATTTGAACATACTTCCTTCTGCCTTGACTTGCTGGATATTTGCTTTCTCTTGTTTCGGGCTTTCACCAAGCTCATTAGTTGCAGTAATGGCAAACTGATACACCTTTCCTCTCTCCAATGCTATTTTCAATTCTCTCACAGAAATATCGCTGATTTCCTTTATTATTGTCCACCGTTCCACTTTTCCATCAGTCACTACTCTTTGGTACACTGTATACATGATAATAACTTTTCCATTACTTTCTGGCTTCTTCCACTCTAGGGTAATTGTATCATCTGTTGTTTCATCTGGCAGTTCGTCTATTTCGACCACATCTGGGGCTCCTAGATTGATGTCAACAACACGAACAGCGTGAAATTTCCCATAATTATACAACTTCTTCTTACAAACCTGGTCATACCATTATCAGTGATTAAATAATCTGTAAATTGGTCGAGGATTTATTTGGGATGTTTTTGAAACGGAAGTGTGTGGCAAGCAAAATTAAGTTAAGTATTGAGATGAAGCGATAATGAGAAGCCTAAAATGATGATCGGTTATTGCCTAAAACAAATACTGCATTTACAAGGTGAATTATAACGACACACTGACTTCTACTGGTATTTCATTGCTATTTACACGAGATCAAATAAAAGACCGATGCATAGATGACGTCGCAATTCCCTATTCGTTTGTGTCCCGTAATTACAGAAAGGATCTCAGTTCGTGTACAACTATATTCTGCTTTTCAAAGTTTGACATCGCGCATGACTTAGTACAGGCACTCTGCAATGACACAACGGGAAAATGAGTGCGCATGCTCCGCTTTTTTCTCCAGGGAGGTTGCCAGTCGAGGAGGCAATGACAAGAAGCGCTTAAGGGATAACAGGTGCGACGAACTTCATTGCCATTTTACGGCTGCTCAACTTCAGTTACTAAATGCACACCTGTTACCACAATACTTTTTTTGTTGAGTGAGATATGTGCCGGATGAGATTCGAAAGAAACTTTCTTGAAAACGGCAACCTTAACTGTTTTGGTTTAAGCTTATCCTTGCGAAATGAAAACAAGCTATTTCTCATCTTAAAAAAAGAAAAAAACGGAGGATTCTTCGAGGCCGTCCACACACTGTTTGACGAGATTTCCCCATAATATTTGCATGTTAAAAGCGATTTTCATGCAAGGCCCATTTCTTCAAACTTCAATTCTTTGGTCAAACGATGTGTGGAAATTGTCTCACTGCCTAAAGGGATAGTTGGTTATTGGGCGTTCTGAATATGGCCGGTACGAGTTTAGGAAAAATGTATCCAACTAACCTAAAGGTCACTATCTAGCGGCTGTTGTTGCTGATTCATAACAGATTTTGAGACCTGAAAATTAGAAAATAAAAAAAATAAAAAAAAAAAAAAAAACGACAAGGCAAACAATACTTGATAAATCAGGTAGCACTTACGGAACGTAACAGCGTAGGTTGTCTATTGTTCTCACCTACGTTCATTATTTTTTCTTTTTTTATTATTATGCTTCTTCAAACGTAGGTGCCTCTAAAACAATTATCACAAAGGGAAAGGAAACTGGCCATTAAGGAGGGGACAAAAGCTGAAAATCGAAAATCTTATAATGCGGCAAGCAGATAACATTGTTAAAACTGGGTTACTCACAACATATCTAAGTTAGCGAAAAATGATTGGTGCAAAGTGCTCAGTCACGATATCACTTTTGATTCCTCACCTTCAAACTTGGTCTTAATGTTCCATACAGTAGGATCTCCCTCGAATACAAAATTTCTGGAAAACAGTTTCACTGTGTAGTTGGTATCTTTCTGCAAACCAGGAAACGAATAAGTTGTCGTCCCAGGATCGGTGATATTAACCTTTTGTATCTCAGTTTCATCCTTTTGTAAGATCATTAGGAATCCTGTAATCGGACTTCCTCCATCATCAGCTGGTGCAGTCCATCGTATTGTTATAGAAGTTGCTTGAATGACAGATTCTGATTTGATGGATGCTTTCCCTGGTTTTTCTACATAGTGCCATAAGAAAAGAGATCATTTTGAGTTTTGTCACCACACTAAGGATGAATGCAAGTCCATGTCTTCTTACAGTTTATTATTCAACTTTCCGGCATATACTGTTCGAATTCCGATTTTCTGATTAGATGATTTACATGATACTGTGTTGTGACGAAACAACCTCCTTGATGTCGTTATAGAGGTGTAATAGCCGAGGTGTAAATTCAACACACCATAGTGGTTTGAATACAGTGTTTCTTTGAGGAGCGTATTCAATTTGAACAATAACAATGGTAACGCACTCATGGCTCCTGAATTATCAGGATTTACTTGTACTCGTTCACAAACAATCAACTCGTGCAGGTAAATCCCCATAGTTCACTCGCTGAGTGCGTTAACCTGTAATTAATGAATATAAATGTAGCTACCGGATAAATTCAGCTAAGAGCCTAATAAAAATAGGAACAATCGATAGTCCATGGTTGAGGAAGTTTCCTATGGATACTCGCATGTGAAGATGTCATGAATCTTCCTGAAGTTCAATACTCTTTTGTAACAAGTTTAATGCTACCAAAGGGCAAGGTGTCGACAGTTTACTTAATTCGGCATAATTTCCGTAATATTCTGTTATACCTCACTAAGGTACAAAGGCGAAAAATATGTGAAGGTCTAATGCTGCTAAAGAGGGAAAAAATTTGTGAATGGAACGCTCAGATGGCCAAATTGTTAGTAAATGAAAGAATAGTAGAATATTAAATCTTTTAATCGATGGTTTAACATACACTTATGTTTTTTCCACACGCCCATGGGCCTTGCAAAATATCCGCACGTATTACATGTTAAACTATCGAATGAGATGTACAAAGTGAATAAGTCACTCTGTCCAATACTTTGTAAGAACATTTGGCTTTTACTTCTACTGCAACTGAAACTGTGATAATGAGCAAAAGAAAAAGAAAATGCTGACCTCATATATAGATTTCTTTTTAATGAAAGTACACTGATCTCATTGACTTACTTATCTGATTTATCTTTATTAATTTCTTATCAGATGGCGTAAGTCCATTAGCAGCAGTGCACTTGTAATGACCAAAATCTTGATCACCCCTGAGTGGCACTTGTATTTTGATTTCTCTGGCTCTGACTCTGTTTATTTCACTTCCTTCAGGTTTGTACCAAGAGAGTGTTGGTGAAGGAACGCCATCAGAAAGACACTTCAAAGTCACAGTCTGGCCAATCCAAGACTTCTTAGATGACGTGGTGACATTTCGAATTGTGGGCGGGTCTAAGAATAAATGTCAATGCAATAAGCATTGGATAAATAATTAGTGATAATTTATATCAGTCAGAACAGTAATGACCTTTATCATCCCACTGCTGTGTCATTTTACCAAAATATGCCATAGTATTACACTTTAGAACAAGCCAAAAATACGTAGCAACATAGCCCTGAACGATCCAAACTTTCATTTTTTTGTTTAATTTTCTTTTTAATTTGACTGTTTTAAGAAGCGAACTTTTAAGGAAGAAAGAACATCTTATACGACCGATACCATACACAGATAAGGCCATAGGATGTAATTCGCATACTAAAATTAAAACACTGATAACTGAAAATAATAGTGGAATAATAAATCCATTAATCGAGAGTTTAACATCTGATACGAGCGGAAGTTTTGCTGATTGCTCATATTTTCTCTCGCCTCTTCAGGGCTCGAAAAAAATTACTTCGCAACCAGAATGAGGTGTACTTATTTTTTTCTTAGAGGGCACGCTAACGAATCCTGCAATCTGATGGGTTCTTAGCGCGGTCCGTATTTTCCTATCTCTGCCTACGGGCGTAACAACACTTATCGTGAGATGCAGAGTCATCCGTACCTTCGAGCCATTCTTCATAAATAAATTTCGTTTAGCTAGCTGGGCATTATTTTTAAGCAAAGACTTGGGTCACGACCTCAAGCCGATAAAGAACTTTTTAATCCTCTCTTTTCTCTCTCTCTTTCTCAAATCTCTTTAAATGCCAGCAAAATATTGGTTTAGAAATGAATTTTTGGTAGAAAAATTGCATCATTAAATGGGTTGACTTGCGGCCTAAAAACCGCTTATAATTAATTTTAATCCTTCACAAAAAGTTGAAACGTGAGGTATTTGTTTATAATTCAATTAATCAATGGGACTTGCTCTCATTCAATAGCGGAGCGCGGAGAGCACGCAGCGTAGACTATACTTATTGGAAAAATAATAGTTGTAACAGTAACCCGTCAAGTCGGAAAAATTTGATCGTACGACCAAAATGAGGATTGTCCAATACACCCAAACCGCTACGATTCGTCAAAGGCAGTTTGCAAATCGTTTTACCGGAAGTCGATTCGCGGTTGATGCGTCCCGTTTTTACCGGAAATCTGATAAACCATCTCTCATAAGATGGAAAGGCATACCGGAAAACGATTTGCAAGACACTTAGAAAATATTTCGCAAGTAACTGTCAAGGATTGTTGAAAACGTTGTCGAATAAAATAACTCGTTTCAGTCAAAGTCGACCTGTCTTACCAGAAGTCGATTTGCAAGACACTTAAAAAATATTCTGCAAGTAGCTACTAAATGGGGGTTGAAGATTTTGTCGAATCGAGTCGATTCGACCGACTCATCTCAGTTAAAGTCGACCTGTCACACCGGAAGTCGATTTGCAAGGTACTTAGAAAATATTCCGCAGGTAACTACCAAGGGTCGTTGAGAATGTTGTCGAATCGAACGACTCGTCTCAGTTGATGTCGACTCGTCACACCGGAAGTCGATTTGCTAGACAACTTAGAAAATATTCCGCGAGTAACTACGAAGGAAGGCTAGAGATGTTGTCGAATCAACTCGATTCGACTCGAATCGAACGGCTCGTCACAGTTGATATCGAACTGTCATACCGGAAGTCGATTCGCAAGACACTTCCAAAATTTTCCGCAAGTGACCGCGAAAGGGGTTGCAGATTTTGTCCAATCGACTCGATTGGAACCACTCGTCACAGTTGATGTCGACCTGTCATACCGGAAGTCGATTTGCAAGACGACTTAACTAATGACGAGTCGAGTCGACCCGTGTGAATGGAGTCGATTCGTCTATATTGAATACCCCAATTTAACGCTTAAGTATGGATTGTCTTCTTTTGCGAATCGACTTTTGGTGAGACGGATCTATTTTACTTATGACGAGTCATGTCCACCCGTTCGAATCGTGTCGATTCGTCAACATTTAATGCCTCTGTTTAATGCTTTAGGTAGGAAGAAGGTTAATTAAAATATTTATGTTATTCTGACAATGGAAATCCGGCCGTTACACGCTTTTAGAACGCGGAAGGTTCATGTTATCATTTTCTCTTTTCATGCTACTCATTTTCACACATTGCTTACCACCCTCCAATTCCGGTATGTTAACGCACGATTTCGACATCCAGTATACCATGCTACTCATTTTCAAACATTACTTGCCACCCCCCACTTCCGGTATGTTAACGCACGATTCGACTTCCGGTGTGTCGAACTATCGGCAAATCATGGTACTGTTCGCAAAGTCCGAACTTTGGTTGTCTTTGTGCGCTGATTGGCTCCGAAGTATATTCTATTGTTACTTACTCACTTTCGGGAAACTCACTCGATGGCAATAGTCACTACTTTGCTCACGCGTAGTAGTCACAAAAACGTCTCACTAAAAAAATCGAAAATGGTTTTTCCATTTGGATAGATCATTTTCCCTGTTGCTCTTGAAGAACAAATTTCGAAAACACACTAGTTTTGGAAAGTCTGGCAGCATGGAGAAATTTAGCCGCGACTCGAATATTTCTCTCTCCTTCGCTGATGTAAATGCAACGCATCTTTCTTTAGGATTACGTATTTCCAAAAAGCTTCGGGGTAAGGATATGAATGAAACATTGCTCCTTTTTTAAAAGATTGAGCGTGGAAAATTTCAGTTCTGCATGGCCAAGACTACAAGTGCAGGAGAATGCAAGAATGAAATAATTTTATTTCATGCTCCATCTTTGGCATCCTTCACCGCCGCCGGTTTCATCTGTTACTTGCTCGTAAACAAACGTCCAGCTTCACAAGAAGCTGTTGTTGGGAAGAATTTGTCGTACATTGACCTATTTGGCTGTTTGTTTTAATTTTTTTTTGTTTAAACTTTAATTTAATTGAAATTAATGTACATGTATTTGTGTTCATTCTCACTGAGAAGACGTGCTAGTCGCCTCTCTCACGACATCGTAAGCCCACACTATACTTCGTGGAAGCGCGGAAAACAAAGAAAACGTAGTTGGTAAACACTCTTTTTAGACAGAAATGAAGTTCACTGAAAATCATTAGTGGTGATATAAAATGCCTTGAGACTATTAATCGGAAGAGATGCCATTTGCGATAAATAATCGTAATTTAAGGACTTTAAGACAAATAATCGTCAAATTTCACTCCAGAAATAAATAAAAAATCCGGAAATTAATAAAGACCTGTTTACACTAGTTGCCAGATTAAGCAACATAGGCTTGAATACTAAGATAAAACAGCTCATAACTTACATTTCTAGGAAGGGCAACCTTTAGTCTCTGTTTTCAACGACATGCAAATTCGTCAAAACGAAAATCTTCAATGCCCCCCCTCTTTTCGAACGACTGGCTGCAAGTCCACGTGGTCTTTCAGCAACACTGAACGACTTCATGAAAGGAGGTGTGCGTTAGCGAAGGGGAACATCCATCGGCCTCGAAGTGCAAATCAGAGGTCCTGCCTCTCCAGTACTAAGACATTAGGGAAATTATATTGTCAATCCAAAAAACAACGTATGGCTCGAATTATTTAGTTCAGCATGTTTTATTTAACCGTTGAGTTCTAGATTTGTTGCCAGCAATTTGAAGTTGTAACAATCGACATTCGTTGTGTTTGATGTACGTTTAAACTTTCACTTTAGATCAATTCTTAAACATGAATGCTACATTTTTGGTACTTAGCAAACCTGTGCGATTTCCTGTCGGTTGCTCTCTAGAAACCTCTTCTGACCCGATCATTGTATGAGACCCTATTTATGGGGTCCTGGCTTTCGGACTAAATATGTGCTCTAATTTACAAACTCCACATTCAGCCAGTGGGCATTACCGCTGTATAATACCTTGCTCTGATGTCGTTCTTAGCAAATCAGAGCACCATTGTAATGGCCACAAGCCTAAGCCATATAATAAATAAATAAATAAATAAATATATATATATACACACACACACATATATATATTAATGTATATAATGTAATTTATTTTAATGTATGCTAGTGATGTAGGGGTTGAATAACAATTGGAACGAAAGTTCTCGGGCTGCAAAAGGAGAAGAAACAGAACTGCCTTTCCAATTGCTATCTAACCCCCTATATCACTAACATGCACTAAGAAAATAAATAGACATGTTGTAAATGTGTTTTGTAAATTCTATTACAATAGTATGGATTACTTGTATAAAGATAAGCCAGTTTCCACTCGAATTTAACAGATTCATTTCACTCCATCAGCAAAAACTTCATATCTTTCTTTTGGAAAGTATCACGCCAAGCTTATTAGCATCTTTCCCACTCTTCAGAATTTAATTTTCTCCTTTCCCATTTGTCCCTTGCAGCATGACATAAACAAAATGTAAGGGAGCCATTTTAATATTTGGCGCTCCTGCTATAATTACCTCACGCAAAGCGATGAAAGCGAGATATGACGCACTCTTCTACCAATCAGAGTGCATGCATCTCTATAATCACCCAGGCAATTGTACTAAAAACATATATCAATAGCAGCCAGGAGGATTATGAGTTTCTTGTTTTGAGAGATAAATATTGTTTAGGCTGGTCTTAAAAGAGGAAAAATAGTGGATTGTTTTTATACTAGGTAGTAACAAGTTCCAAAGCTCAGCATTTCTAATTAAAAAATATGATATCCTATAATAATCTTGATTATGTCCGTAGATTAAGTTATCATCATTAATGTCAAATTTACGTGTACGATGACATGGCTCAAAGTATGCAAGTACATGTATTCCCTTACATCGATAGATATAAGACCATTCCTGGACTTGAAAATAGAAGCAGGTCTGATATCTCTCGACAAAAATCAAGAGGCGGTAGTGGAAATTACTGTTTTAACTCACTTTCTCTTGTAAAGAAGCAGATATTGAATATGGCTTGTTAAAAAGGTCGTCACAGAACGTCAGTAACAATAGATTTGTACTTGCACAAGTGCAACCCTAAAGCCAAAATGTGATCGGTGGGAGCAACAAACCCTTACGCTGCGATCTCGTTGCAATTGGCTTGGGCGAAACGGCATTTCTGGACATTTACGTTGTTTTTTGTTTACTTGTTTTTTTTCTTACAGGAAATGTGTTATATATGTGGTATACTCCAAGAAAGCATGTCTACTGTAATTTTGATGGGTGAGTTCAAAATCTAGAGATTAGCATAACGTTCATGCTTCCTTTTTACCTGCTCCTAACAACAGAAAGCAACAACAACAACAGCGCATATGCAAACACGGAAACAATGAATGAGTTGCCAGTAATCGGATCCTTGCGTTTGCGCACAGATTTCTGGGATCGCCACGGGGCAAACATAGTAACTCGCTATGAAGGAACGTATGGTGAAAGGTTGTTTGGACGTCCAAAAAAAGCTATTTTGGCGAGAGATTATGAATTTTTCATAATAAAGATAATGTTGTTACCTTAGAAGTTAAAGTTTTTGCTGGAATTACCACGAAATATGTTATAAAAAATACCGAAAAACTTGCGTAAGGTCTATTGTGAAATCGCCATCGCGTAATGGTCTCAAAGTATTTCAAAATTACCCAGAAATCGCTGAGAAATAATTCTTTTAAGTCTTTTCAGTTCTGTTTATACATGTACAGCCTATTTTTATACTTGCTAACGTATTTGATAAATAAATTACGACGTTTGAAAGTATACTTCTTCAAAGGAGAGAAGTCGTTGTCAGCGGTGATGGAAATTATTTTTACCGAGCTGATGCTCACCGAAAGGATAAAATAAGCGATGAATTAAACCATAAGGAAATCCCCAGTTCAAGTGATAGTTTGTTTGAGAAAAATCCAAAGATCTTTGAGCTGCAATTTTTCTTCTCGAACTCCCTAAAGGTTCCTGTCAGGAAAAACAAGATCACGGGAAAAAAAAACTGACACGGTTTGGTTGAGTTATTCTTTGGCGTTTTATATGGTTAGTTTTTCTAAATTTCAAGACCATTACACGATGTCAAATTCACAATAACCCTTGCGCATGGAAACAAGTTAATCGGTAGACTTTACCACATATTAAACGGTTTTCCAAACAAAAAATTACTCTTCCCTTGTATCAGCATTACCCTAATCCATTTCTGGTAAAGAAGCGGTGAAAAGGCGATAATCTCACTCTAAAATCTTTTATTTGGACGTCGGTTACACAACCTCCCAAACCAGAAAGCCATGGACATCAACTACACGGGCGCAGCATTTCTCTTTCCTTTCCCAGTCTTTCGATGAAATAAAAGAGTGAAGGTTGTAATCACTCCACAATACAGTCCGTCACTTTTGTGTTATTTGGCAGTCGAGTATTCAGTATAAGATGACAAGGCCTACGTGTAATGAAATATAAAATGGATTCTCGCCCTCAAATAGCATATCTCTTCGAGCGCCACTCACGCAAATATGTGCACAAACCTTAGGCATGCAGTCTTAATTTCAGCCCGTTTTACATCGAGCACCTGTTCTCAGCTATCAGTAAAAATAAAGTGTAATTTCTCAGCTGACAGTGAGGATCTTGACCAATTCTCGGATTTCCATGAAGCCTCAACTAGCGCCCTCACACAGAATCAGAATATGCGCGAGCCTTGTGCGCTAGTCAAACGGAGTGAATTTTGGGTTGTCACAATGACTCACAAATGGCCTAAAGCCATTTTCTGAGTTAAACATAGTCCAACTGCAGCAATGACTTGGAGAGAAAATTGTCACGCCCTCCAAAGCAAAATAATGTGAAAAATGATTTCACCTATATTCAATTGTCCCAATCAACACTTGAGACTGATGCACACAAAGCCGAAAATGATTTGAGGTGGAATTCTGTTTCCTTACACTTTGGAACAGATTCGTCCGTTTTGGGTACTGAACCCAATAACAGGATTCGCACTGTAAATAAAGTAATTTCAGAAATAGAAAATTAAGGTTAAAACATACTTACAGTGAACTACAATTGTTTTGTCAATGGAAGTGACTTCCACCGAGTTATTGGCTCGACATGTATATTGTCCTGCATCTGTTCTGTTTATATTATCGAATTTTAAAAACGCAGCTTTCATCCCTGAACTTTCCAGTACTCCATTTCTGATCCATGCTACATCTGGTGGTGGTATCCCAGAAGCTTTACAGGCTATGGTGACAGGGGATCCCTCAATGTAATATTTTCCTCCTAAGGAGAGGTTTATAAGTGGTGCCTCTGAAAGGTAAAAGAGATTATATCATTCCTCATATGGCGTAGCAAATTTTACTTGGACTAAGTTTTAAAATTTACCCAATTACAATAAAATAAACAAAAGTATCCAGCAATTGGTTCCCCACAACCACCTATTATAAGGAGGCTCAAACTTTATTCAGTACAATTTAGCTTGCTCACGAGCTAAATTGTTCAGCAGAGCCCCAGTGTCGGGAACTAAGAGCTAATTCAGGAAGTCACTCATTGGGCTAGGGACCCTGGCTTTTAAGCTAGCCCCATCTTTTTGGATAAAATTTTAGCCACTGCATAAACAAATAGGAACATAGCCAATCAAGCCACACCTCACTTGGAACTTGGTCTGACAAAGGATCTACTGAAGACATCCTCAACCCAGAGAACTAAAATTTTGATGAAAGAGATACTATGGATTCTTCCGGATAAAAATAATACACCAATGGCATGCTGAATGATGCTTGCCATTACTTAAAGTTAAAAGAAGAACTTACCCATCTCCTTGAACTGATCGTTCTTTTACCAAACATTAAATAACTTGATTGTTCATCATGATTGATCTGCAAAGGGAGTTTGCAGAAGGGAGAGTTTCGGACTCTTCCCCCACATGTTGAAGAATTATACTCACATATAAAACGTTCTTAAGCTCAATTCAAACGCAAAGAAAAAAAAATTACTTCCCTGCATTAAGAATGGACTGTATGGACTTGCAGGCATTACAGTACAGCTCAGAGGTACTTGGCCCAAAATTCACGCGAAAAGCGCGTTAAAAAACCCATGCACACGCGTGCAATTTTTTCAAACGCACGTAAAAAAATGTGCGCGAAAGAAGCTTACTAATATCTATGAAGCATTCTTTTGTTTAACTTGGAATGGTGTGTTATGTTTATAACAAAGGAGGTATTCCATGTTGGTGACATTACGTGGTTATGTCCCGAAGCGATTGGCGTCAGTTTATTTTTGAAATGGCCTGCCTGCATTGTGAAGAAAAAGGAAAAAGTTTTTGACCTACTTGGTACTTCCTTAGAAAGCGAGCAAGATCAGAAAATATCATGTTCAATAGAGTCGTTTCGTAAAAGTTTACGGCTTGCGACTAGCAGCAAAAGTTAACTCGTTTGCATTCATTCCTCAGTAAAGTTATGTGAAATTATCTGCAGTTTGCTGCAGCAGGAGACATTTTCCTAATGTTTTGCCAGGATGATTTTAGGTTCATAGGATAAGTGAAGAAAACAAGATTCCATTCTGCTGTTTGCGGTTAACATCAAGCTAAAAACCATATTTGTTCACAAGTAGGTAAGACTGCCGCTACTGTTCGATCGATTTAATTCGCTCTATTTTCTTGAATCTTCAGTGTGAATCTGAGTTGCCAACAAAATTGCTCATAACTCCGCTCATTGTCAACTCAGCGCCGTACTCGACTCTTATCAATGAACAGAAGTAAACAAGAACGAGCGTCTGTTAAAAAGTGTCATAACGATCACTATCATTATCACATAACGCTAGGCATGAATACGAAAGTACGAACGAAGCAAAACTGCTCTTATGAAGGCAGTATTTCTTGAAATCTCGCGCGTAACATTTGTATTCAGTTTCAACCTTATAAATAAAAAGCTTCAAATCGCCGACCGTTAAAACCGTGCTCACGATCGATAGACGATGTTCAAATTTCGAGGTGAAGACAGCGATGCGTTGCGTTTCTATAGGACAGGTATCGGCGGAATCATAATTTTGCTCAAGTAACAGGTCACACGACCTCGAAGACAACCGGGATTAATCAATGATTCCTAAACACCGCGCGTTAGAAAGACATCAAATTCACTTAATTTATCGATTTTATGAGTATCCTCGATGCTGCACATAAAAAATGGCTAATAGAGGATCAAGGGGGAGCTCATAGCAAACCCGTCTGTTGCCACACGACCGTTGTTTACAAATTTAAATGTGACCTGTGTCGAAAACGTGAAAAAGCTGTACCACACTTCCTTATAAACTGACGATTTATTCGCTTGATTCAATAATTTTGCTACTACGCTTCGGTTGACTCCCACTCACAACTCTCGGCTTATTCGAAGGAAACACACTCAACGTCCCGTTGTAAGCACAAGGAACAGTGCCATATATGGGACGATAAAACACGTGCCGCATACATGTTTGCTTAGTTATGTATAAATAAACGAAATCACTTGTAAATATCAATCAAATTGAGAATAACTAACGTATCGAACAGTTTCCAACACCTGTACGATGCAGGTTATGTTGGTTTTACACGCCGCCATCTACATCAACATGTTCAAGAACACAAAAAATCGACTCCATCGATTGACAAGCATTTTCGCAACAAGCATTCTTTGGCTCCAAGGGATCTTACGAAGAATTTGAGTGTTTTAAAGAAGAGTACGAACAAATTTGACTGCCTAATTTACGAAATGTTTTTTATTCAAGAACTGAGACCTGCTCTCAATGTCAGTTGGACTCAATTCCTGCAAAGGTTTTTAATTAGGATTTTAAGTTTCATTTCTAATTTCAATTTAGTTTTCAATTAGCTTCTAATTATTTCTTCTCTTTGTATGTTCTCATTGTCCGTTTACACTTCCATAAAATTTTCTACTTCTTACACGCATATTTATTTTCATCGTGACATTCTTACTATTCACTTGAAAATGACCGAAGTTTGATCGAATAATTCTACCGTTCATTTTTGTCAAAAATTTTACGAAATCGCTATTGATCAGTCTAATATTGATAGAAGATCTATAGAATTATATCTACCCATTTACAATTGCTGACCTGACACTTTAAAGGAAAGATAGTAAAATTAGTTCAAAATGCCACCTAAAGTAGAAGTCTACACCTTAAGAAGAAAAATTATCAACTATTATCAACTAGGAAACTAAGAGACCAGAAGAAGGCAGATGTCCTTTAAATTGTACTAAAATGTGCCGCCTATCAAAAGGAACAAAATGATTCTTAGCTGTCTTCATATCTCAGAAACCTTGGGAGCATTAGCCTCATCAATATCATTGATGACATCAGCAGTAGAATAGAAGAAACCTTAGGATGTAAGCCAAATTTAGGTGTTCTACTTGGCTACACATGGAAGACCCTATGCTACCTGGAAAAAGGCATTTAACCACTTGAAGATGAATATAGTCAGGATAAAGATGAAATTTTTTCGAAACTCAATGCCAAAAGGATCATGGTGAACACGCTAAGTCAAAACTTGCAAAACTATTGACAGTGCACGGGACATCTTGGATATGCGGTGAGCAGACAGGAGAAAACTAGTGAATGAACAGCTGTCAAACCGGTCAAACGAGAATCTAAGTCTCTAACACACTTCTCCACAACATCTTGTTACATAATAGACTCCATTCTTTATGTAACAACTTCTATCCAAACACAATCTATATGTAAACGACAACCAGCATTTTGGTAGAGATGATAGAGGTGACAATTTTTATTCACTAGTCATAGACGATCAAAAACATTAAACAGTGAGTTTGGATTCTTTGCAACAAGTGAATAAAATCGTTCAAGAAAACAATAAAGTATTAAATTGTACATGAGTATTAAGATATCACAATTGTTTTCAACTTTGAATCACAGTTAAATGACCAAGAAGTTACATACTTAATATCACACATGTTTCTATGTACTTAAGGTTGTTAGGACATCCAAGATACTGTGTTCGAAAATGAAAGTTAAAACACTCAGAGAGAAGATTAAAAAGTCTGCTCAAAGAACACTACGATTCCGTTTTATACATGAAAATTTTTGGAAAAGTTTAGGTTGCATAAGCTCAAAAAATGTTTCATACTCTAAATTGAAATTGAGTACTTTTAGTCCCTTGGAGCTCTTTGTAGCACTCAGCCAGTTTCTCAGTGGAGCAACCAAAGTCAGCAATAAAATTAGAGCTGTTGAACTGACCTCCATGAATAACAGCATCTGCTAGGAACAGCACTCCTACCAGGCCAAGTTGATCATCATGGAATTATTTTCTGTTTGCATGCTCAACGCCTTTCAAAGAGCATAAAGAACTTGGATGATAGACTTTATTGGTTTATTACTTCCAAAACTTTAAGAAAATTTTGCTCCAGCGTGTAAATTTAGTCCAAGTCTCGACTTGCTCCTTAGTCTAAGAACTTACTTCAGGAAGTCACTGTTCTCACTCAGTTGACTAAATTTACATCTGTAAACCTTGAAGTTTATAATCCTCAGAAAGCAGTATAAAGCATAATGCCAACTTTCATTCCTATGGCAAGTACCTTTAAAAGACTTGAAAAGCAATGCCATTTTTTTCACACCAAATTAATTTCACACAATGCCTGTGATTGGCCATGCAACATTCTCCTTCACTGATTTAGCAAAATCATAGAACTAGTAGGATAGTTTCCAGTTTTGACTGACCATTTTTAATTGACAGCTTCGCTAAGAGAAAATCTCAGTACTCATATTAATAATAGTTACCTGTGCATAACAGAGCAACCCAGTAGTTGGTGCCAGAAAAATGAAGCAATTACTCTTTGAATTCTTACTGATGAGAATGACAGCAAAGTAAATGGTAGAATTTATTTTCTCCTTTTGTGGAGCATCACATGCCAAGTAAAAGTAGCACAATTGTTCGCAAAAGTCGGATTGGCTAGCCACTTTCAGCCCTGCATATAAAGGTTTGCGCAAATTTATGCTATTGTTTACTTTCTCCAGATCTCAGAAATATGAGACACACGAGTAGAATACATTTGATTTCTGTTTGACTATGAATGGTTCTGTAATACGCACCTGCCACAATAAGCTGAACTGTACTCTTAAGCGAGCTTAGGCCTCCCCTGAGTTCACATTGAAATTCAGTATTGTCTCCAGGGTTGATGTTCTCAATAACCAGGGTAGCTTTTCCTTCAATTTTAACTCTTCCTTTGTAAGATGGAGGAATGTTAGGATGTTCTTGGACACCAAGACTGTAATTAACCAACATTTCGACCCATCTACCATTAACCAGAACACTATAGATAATGCTCTGAATGTTATTTTGTGGATCAGTGTAGTCCCACACCAGGTTGGCATCACTACCATTGATGAAGTAGCTTGGATTAAAAGGTTCCTGGGTTAAACGCTGATTCACACCACCTAAAATAGACAATCATCAACATAATGTTCTCAGCCCTTTGTTTACACATGTAAGGATAATATAACAATAATAAGTGTAAATATACTAGAATTCATATTCACTGATATCAGTCAGCTTGAAATATACTTTCATTTGCTATGAAATAAGGTTCAGTAACAGTAATAGTAATGGGTAACTATTTGCACCTTATGAAAATCATTTTTGACAAGTTCCACTTTCTGTAACCTCTGAAATATGTACAGTCTGTGGTGAATTCCCAAAATTTGAAAGTGGTACACTAGAAGAAATTTTATGAAGAATAACTTGTCAAGGTGGAAAATGGAAAGTGGAAGTATCCACATGTATTATATTTTAAAACTATGGAATGAGGGATTTATTATTCCACCCATTTCATTTCTGGTCTTTTGGCTTCTAGTCTTTTAAAATTTGTATGGTCTTATATGAGCATCCTACCCATCACATGAGATGTGCATGAAAGAAGAAAACAACAGTAAAGAAACCATTTAAGTGTTCTTAATGACCAGAACAAAATTTTTTGTGGGCTTTAAAGTTCATTGTTAAAATACAGTCTAAAAATTCGAAAATAAATAAAAAATCACATGCATCACTTCTGTCTGTATTCTTGCCCTGTTCTACAGTTTAAAACCACGGCATATTTTGCGAGTTGCATTGCCCCTAATTACGGTAAAATGATATAATAGTGAATAAATATTAACAATATTTGCCGAAGGCAAAGCAAATATTATTCATTGATCTTCCCTTTGCCTTCAGCAAATAATTGTTTTAGTATAATTGCTCACTCCAGGTGCTTTCAAATCTTGTCATATATTCAGTGAATAAAGAACTAAGTATTGCACACAGCTTGTTATAATTGTGTTGATTCCTTGTATCAGGATGAGCAAGCAGTGTTAAGGGATTTTTTCAATTGAATCAGCAAAAACTTCATCCCTTTGTTTTTTAAAGTGTTATGCTTAAATCTTTTAGCATCTTTCATGCTCTTCCCAATTTAATTTTCTTCTATTGCATTAATCACTTCCTTAGATGACTGAAAAGTGTTTGTTGATACCATAATAGGAATTATAGTGCCAATTTGAACCATAACTTTTTGCTCATTCACATAAGCACGAATGAAATGGCAAAGGTGGACTGTCATGCTTTCTTATCAGAGTCAGAATCTAGAAATTTAAGTCTTTTGTACCATTTTGGAGGAGATTCTACTTTAGTTCCTCAGATTGTGAATGTCAGGAATTGATCTAAGCAAAGGTTTTGACAAAGATTGTGATCAGTTTGCATGAAGTGAAATCAGAGTGATTTTCACAAATTTTCATAAATTCCAGCTTTCTCTGACATTATCTTCGTAAATTAATTTAACTTGTTTACACCAACAGCTGACTTCTTGTTTTTAACCCTGAAGTCATGATTTCACAGTTGTATGCAACCAGCAAACATTGCTATCACTTTAGCAAAAGCCACATCACAAAGGCAAAGAAAACCCATACTACTGTTTTCAGTGGTCAAAAATTTCGGCTCATTCCTCCCTTGTGAGAAAAACCATCTGACTTATTAGAATTTGCGCAGTTTATTACAAATCAATTTTATTTTCAAATTTAGTTGGGAGAAAATCTCAGTACGTATATTTATCATAAGCCCACATGTATACACACACATTTCAAAAACTTTGGTCCTAGTAAAACTTTACCTTTTTCTAAATATGCAACAAAAATAAGTAGTGCATGACTACTGGTGTGGGATACCACAATCATATGAGCATAAAGCTAAAAACTGGTCAAGTCAGTACACAAATCATACATGTTGGTAGTTGAACAAATAATACTCAATTATCCATCCAAGTGCATTATGTAGTTTCTTTACAGGATTGCTGCCTAGAGAAAAAATCACGCTCAACTTAGCTGGCAGCAATTATCCTCGCTGAGGTCATTCTTTGAACCAATAATGAGTGGAAAAATTGTAAACAACTCTTCCCAATAATGAATGATGGATGGCAAGGAAGAGAGTTTAGGTACAGATGGCAACTCTTTCCTGGGTTTGCATGGCCATCATGTTTGTAATGGAGAGCCACCTGGCAAAGCAGGAACTTAAACTCAAACTAATCAAGAAAATAGTGCACCTTTCAGTTTCATAGTTGATGTCAAATTCTGATCGTATGGTATTGTTACACTTGAAAATTAAATCCTTTGCTCTTGATTTGTATCGCATCATTGTTATTCAGACTTCATTTATCACGTACGTGATTGAAATTCCAACATCATATGTTAAATTTGAAATAAAAAAACTGTTGAAAGCTACTTTGGAGTACGGAAATAATTTTGACGAACGTCACGTTCAGAAATAAAGGGTCGGCGTTTACGGTTTCTAAGCTTAAACTGGCACATGATAAAAAACACTATAAAATCCTTTGTACGGGAGAATAAATTTCACACTTACCTGACCCGTGAAACTTCACCAGCAGAAGAAAGAGCATGTAAATCTCATAATCACGGAAAGACACCATCTTATCAGATCTTCGCTGATGCTTCAATGAGGAAGGTTGTGTCTAAATCTTACGGAAGTCCCTTGAAGGAGTAAAAAAAGAAGGCCCCTCTTCGTATTGAGACTGGGACCGAGTCTCACGATCACCCTCGTGAAATTGTCGGCCGTAGTCGGTAATATTGCCTATACAACATGGCGGATGATGCAATTTATGGAAGAAAACTCGATCTAACCTATACACTTGGGACATTTGCATGAATTGTGGAAACTTTCCTTTCGGCAAAATGTTCAATTCATTGTAAACCATACGTGAAACTTGCGAATGTGTCGAATGAGCGTGACTCGATGGCACCGAGATCAATCACGCGCGCGTGTGAAGCTAACTTAAAGTCACGCAAATAAAAAATAACTTGTAACAGACAGTTTTCAACTCCTCTTTCCTGTTTATCAATCGTGGATTCTTTTCCAAGGGCCAATAAATATAATCAAGGTCGGGTTCCGCTGATCTATCTCTGTGGGGCCGTATTCCTAAGGCCGGAAACGGAAGTCAAGCGGATCAAAAGGGAAATAATTACGCAATCCAGACGCACAAACTCAGTCAGTACATAGCAAGAATCAATTTTATAGGGAGAAATTTTCCTCAAGATTCCCTCTATTTTGGTATCAGCTCCTTCGTGTATCTTCGAACCATGTCATCTCTAAGAATTTCTATCTTGCGCCCGATGTAAAATCAGCCGAGAAGCTACTGTACGAACACGAAATGGAAACAACAACTAGCTTTGTTATGTGTAACAGCTACGGTGCTGATAAAGGTAAGTCTAACGCCAGAGGGCCGCCTTACACGAACTCTGCTTACGGGAGGGAATGTTAAGTGGAGGGATGCAGGCGTGTAGGGGAGACCAATAGGGGAAGGGGGATCCAAAAATTTCCTATTACGGCATTTCATAAAAACTACAAATGAAATCTATTCTTTATTTTGATTTTTAGAGACAGGTGTGTAATTCACTTTGTTGTTGTTGCTGTTTTTTTTTTTGCAAAAATTGGAAACATAAAAGCACTGTTGAACTCCAATAGCTTTAATGTGATAGCTTGAATGCCTGGAAACTGCAATAGCTTGAATGTCTGAAAAAAGGGAGGTTATATGTGGTTTTTGATATCCTATTTCAGATCTGATCCAAAAGAAAATACATAGAGCACGTGCCTCCCGCATGACCACTTATTGACCAACTGACTGACTGACTGACTACCAGACAAAATTAATAAACGAATGACTGAATGAATGATTGTAATGTATATTTTATGTATGTATGTATATCTTTTCACTTTCAAACTTTCAACTTTGTATAAATTGTACCTGTTTGTCATATCTATTCCTCGGACCTTTAAGCACTCAAAGTTGAAGGAGGTGAGTCAATAACCTGGCTTCCTTTGTTTGGAATTGTGTGATTATATAATTTTGCTGTGTTACCACATTGTAACATGTAATAGTATTATTTAGATTGCATTAAATACTATTTCTCAAGCTTTCATTAATGCATGGTGCTTCTTATCAATGCTTATACCCAAACTAACTGTTGATATATGGAATTGGTCTCAAGAAATGGGAGTTTTAAAGGGTTGGAATCTGGAAAGGCAAGGATCCTCCTTTAATTCGGACTGAAATTTACGGGGGCCCTCCTTTTTTAATTCATGTTTTTACTTTGACCTGCCTCCTCCCCTGAAATGTTTAGGGCACATAGATGAAGAGAACATTGTTTGTATTTTAATGTATGAAAGTAAATTTAATTGGCGTCCACATAATGCACAAAGCAGGAAGGTTAAAAAATAAAAATAAGAGAGTTGTGCAGACCATATCTTATTTTTTGGCCTCCTCTGGATATATATTCAAATAACATAGTCAATATCAGTCTCAATCACTCTCACTTTCCACTGAGCTTGTGGAAAGAAGATAACCTCAGTATTTCTTTAAATGAAGAAAGGAAAGCATGCCCTCTCACCACAGATGGTTCTTTTGTGCATTATCAGTTCAAACCTGGCCCCAGTTGTTCGAAGGTTAGATAGCGCTCTCTACTGGATAAAACTCTATCCCATGGATAACGCTATACGTTTTGCTATCACTTATCCGCTGGATAGCAATTCATCTGTTGGATAGCGTTATCCGCTCTTCATGTAACTGGGTCCTGGTCTAATTTGTACACGAAGGTGATTGGTCCGGGTAGACTAACTTATGAATTAGTTGTGAAGATTCCCTGAACCTGTCATTGTATGAATGTTTGACTTAATTCTACCTCTTTAACCCAAACTGAATAAATAAAAACTTGAAATTTATTTGGTATCCTTTTGAGGTGTGCATCAAA